TCTACAGCAGGGGAGATACTACGGGAGGTGACGGCGAGTCGTAATAGACAGACAGACAGACAGTCGTGTTTAACGCCTTCCTGCCCAGGGCGGAGTTTGCAAGTGCGCCAAAACTGGAAGGGGTTAACAAGCAGGCACAATAAGACGGTAGAAGCTTGCTTCGCAAGGCCCGCAGCCTGTTGGTACAGTAAAATTCGGCATGCATCGTACTCGGTTGGCGGCTACGCAGTAGCCCTACTAAATTATATACTACTGAGGAAAATCGGCTTCAGGCGTGACATTCTCTCTGAGGCCTATGGCAGGGCATAAATACCTAATACTGACCACAAGGGGCAGCAGAGTTCTCAGATCACATAGACAGCAAAACTGCTGCTGATGAAGGGTTCAGTTTAATATCTGGGGGGCAATTTAATATCTGGGGCATTACCTAATATTGACCACAAGGGGGCAGCAGAGTTCTCAGCTCACATAGCCAGCAAAACTGCTGCTGATGAAGGGTTCAGTTTAATATCTGGGGGGCAATTTAATATCTGGGGGGTATTTACGCCGTGTAGATTGTATGTAACAGGCTCATGTACCCTTGGCTGCATTTTTAAGCCCCAGCGAATGCCAGACACGCAATGTGTAATCAGTCCTTCCAGCGCTCATTGGAAGCAAGCGTTGTGTTCTATCGAAAGCTCCAGCTCATCGAAATCTCCTACTACCTCACTGCCGGGTACTTGCAAGTTGGAGATTTCGACCCGACGGCGTTAGACTGCAAAACACAAAGACTGACGGAGCTCCGTACAGCTGCATTCTAACAATATTCAGCAGGTGGCAAAACTCGACGAGTATTTTGAAAACGCTACGCATGCGCACCGCAACTGTACAGAGCTCCAGTCTTTCTGAGCACCGGAAGTGAGGTAGTTGGAGATTTCGACGAGTTGGAGCTTTCGATAGAACACCGGATTTTTAAACAGTGGGAGCTGACCCGGCTTTTAAATGCAACGGTACAGGGCTAAAGGCATACGTAAATCTACAGCCGCACCCCCCCATTAAGATCTGCATTCAAAATTCCAGGACTGGACTTTGGAAATTGCGCGCTTGGCTTTCCGAAACGCACCGACAGCGCCAAACTTACGAGGCCATGAAGCAGGCGAGCCTGGCAGAGAGATTGTCGGCCATTGTCAGACCTTCCTCCTTCGTTCATACATAATATCATCTAATTTAATTCCGTTTTTTTAAATATATTTTCCTGTATTACAAAATAAATAACATGCTTTGTTAAAAAGTCCTTTAACCCCGCCCCCTACCCCTCCCTCGTCCGCCCCCCCCTTTTTC